GTAAAAAATTTTAAAGTTAAAAAAAAGAAAGAAAATACAAGGCCTTAGTCATACGGTTTTAACATTTTAAGAATATAGTTGTATAATTTGGATAATTATTATTTCCGAATGTTATCTCCTTAATGAAATGTGTTTACAGGTCTGAAAAAGAACCTCAGTTTAAATTTATCTACTTCAACCATATGAATTTAGCCGAGAAAAGTACAATTCACATGAGGAAAACACCTAGTGTGTCACTTACATCTGTTCATCCAGATTTAATGAAGATTCTTGGTGACATCAACAGTGATTTTACTAGGTAAGTCTAGCAACTTCCTCAAATTAGGTATCCCCTTCCTAATAGGAGAAGCAACATTAAAAGTCACTTCAAAGAAGCCACGTGACCCAGAGCCCTTTCCAAGGGGCTCAGGTTTAACCACCTGTGGGGACACCCCATCCAAACGGACCCTGAAGCCCCAAAGTCATTGGTTACTCACCCATGACTCCCTGACCTTGTTAAATGCCTATTTCATTTTTCTGTTCTTGTTTTCAAATGTTTGTTTTCACAGTCTAGCTATATATATATATATATATATATATATATATATAAAATACATTATTGCATTTTGAAACTCTTGTCTTACAGAGTGGATGAAGATGAAGAAATCATCGTGAAGGCGATGAGTGATTACTGGGTTGTTGGGAAAAAGTCTGATCAGCGGGAGCTGTATGTTATTTTGAACCAAAAAAATGCCAACCTGATTGAAGTAAATGGTAAATGGGATTTGGTATTAGAGCAGAATTTTAATGCTGCGGATACTAAAAAGCTATCTTCTCATTGTATTAAGAAGCCTGGCAAATAGAACAGATCATGACTTCTGAGATTTTAAGCAGGTGCCTCTAGTGTTTGTTTAAAAAAAACCATTTGATCCATTTTCTGTTTTTCTTTATCTATAATTCCTTGAAAAACTGTATGACACACTTTCCTGTAGCACAGGAAACTAGACAGTGGCCAAAAATAAAATCTTTTTTTTTTTTTTTTTTGGTCAGGGCTTATTGTGTCGCCCAGGCTGGAGTGCAGTCACAGCTCACTGCATCCTCATCCTTTAGGGCTTAAGCGATCCTTTTGCCTCCGTCTCCCAGGTAGCCAGGACTGCAGGCATGTACCACCATGCCCAGCTAAGTTTTAAAGATTTTTTTGTAGAGACAGAGTCTCACTATGTTGCCCAGGCTGGTCTTGAACTCCTAAGATCAAGCAGTCCTCCCACCTTGGCTTCCCAATGCTGGGATTATAGGCGTGAGCCACTGCTCCTAGTAGAAAACTATTTTCTACAATGCTAAAAAGGAAAAAAGAAAAACATGGCTCTATAGATTGTATATTAAAATGTCCTTTTTTATATCCTGTGATAAAAGCCCATCTTTTGTAGGGAGAGCTGCCAGGGTCACATGGCAGATCACAGCTCCATCTGTCTGTTAGCAGAAAGATAATACAGAAGTTTTCTCCCACTTTCCCAAAGCGGCTGGCTTGGCTGGCTGTTTGCACAGTATAACCCAGCAGCTATTCTGTTGGATGCTGACAGCTCATTTCCATGGAGAGAAGGTAGTGTCACCTTCACTGAGCTCTGCCTTGGACCTGGAGCCAGGCGGGGTGTGGGTGGGGTGATGCCCCACATATACATTGTAAGGAAAGTCAACTGTATAAGCTTTTTAAATTGTTTTTTGGGGGTATATCTTCTGGGGCTTGTTAAATTTGTCTTTATAGTAATATTTGTATCAGTAGTTGTGTGCATTAGAAACATCAGTTAATACACGCCTGATTCAAATGGAAAGTTTAGTAAGACCGAGATAATGATACCTCTGTGGAGAACTTGAACTATAGGTCAGGGTTGCAACTAGAGTTTTCTGGTCGTTCCATCAGATTTCTCAAGATCAACCACATCTTCAGTGTTGGGCTCCTAGCCCTCTAACCCATACTTTCTTAAGCCCAGAGAAGCAGGGTTTCAGTATGTTAAAAAGTACTGGGTCTTGTGGGTTTATTAAGTGTTTTTTCCCTTTCTCTTCAATTATTAATATTTCTTACCTCATCTTCTGGAATTTAAGGTCAAAATTAAATGTCTATTCCCAATTTTATTCCAGAAGAATTTAAGGTACCATCATATACTATATCACCTTGTAAGAGAGAAGCTCTATTCCTTACTCACTGTTTTCTGTTCTTTTCGCAGAAGAGGTAAAGAAACTTTGTGCAACGCAGTTCAATAACATATTCTTCTTGGATTGACTGATGATGGCTCACCAAAAACATCAAAATCTCAGCATTTTTTACCATTGCAAGTTATTGGTCATATTATTGACTGGATTAATGACAATAGTAAAGCAATACTTGCTTTGAAGAATCAAATCTCTTCTCAGTCTGATGATCCCCTGAGGTTTTTAGATTTTAAATATTTATGTGGAATTAATTAAAGGTAGTTGGCTATATCTCTATCATTCCATTCTTTTGACATTATGTGAATATTTTACTGGAAAACAAGACTAATAAATTGTTAAAGTTTTTAAAATTCTGGTTTTGCATCAAGTCTCTCTTGTGTTGCCCATTCGTAGACTACACTGGCCAGCGGATCCTTGACCCCTGCCCTGGGGACGTTAAACTCATAGTCGATATGCCAGTGACTAGAGCTTTTCAGAGTAAAGTTCCCTCCCCAGTCCTGAGACTTGAGTGGTGATAATGGGGCATTTGCCCAAAGTAATTGCTAGACTTGGTTTTTATCTGGAGCACTACTGTGGTTTTAAGAGCACATCTAATACAGAGAACTTGAGGAAAGTACCCAGCGTGGTCTGAACTGAAAGCTTCTCCACGTGGCACACAGTTCTTCCCAGGAGCCTCAGCTCTGTGTGTGTCTTCGTGGTTGAGATGAAGTCTGACTTCACCTAAATGTTGGCGAGCTGGACATCCCAGGTTCTGGATGAACACTAGCCAACTACATGTTATGAAAAAACATTATTAAGCCCTACAAGTGGTTCTTCATAGTCCCCTTCGCTTAGCCTGCTTCCTCCTGTTACATTAGGGAGGACAGGAGGTGGCATCGTCCGTTTGTAGTACAGTTTACCCCTCTTATTCACAAGTTCTACACCTGTGGGTTCTGCATCCTCAGATTCAACCAACCTCAGGTGGAAAATGTATTTGCAGGATGTGGATTCTGCAGATAAGGTGCCAACGACTTCATGTCCGCAGTTCTACAGGGCCAACTGCAGGATTTGAACATCTGGGTTTTGGTATCCATGGCAGAATCCCAGAGCCATTATCCAGCAGGTACCAATACCTAGGGGTGAATATATTGTCATTGTCACTTAGTCTTAAATCACAATTTCTGTTATGATTTCCTCTTAACCCATACATTAGCTAAGGTGGCAGATTAAGTTTCCAGTTGTGTTAGACTTTGTTTATTGCGTATGCTCATTGCTGACATAATGATTGGGCTCTAATTAGATTATAGTCTGTGGCATATCATTTGAAGTTGCACTTTTCAACCTAAAATGCGGTCACCGCTTTTGTCAGAAAGTATGCTCTGTTGCATTCTGGTTTCTAGCTATATGTACAGTTCAGACTTTGTAGTTTGGTTGCTACATTCTGGCAAGTCTTTTGTCTTCCTCTGCTTCTCCCATTATGATCGTCATTTTCTTCTCTGGAGTTCTGTCAGCTTTTGTAAGGCTAATGTGTAGATGTATGTGAGAAATGCTGTTTTTCGGTTGTTGATCCTTTCACCATTATCTTTATTTTTGTCTCTATTGTGCAGATGTTTGCTGTGTTTTGGCTCTTTTTAATATTGCTTGCTTAATCCAGTCATGATTAGATTTGCCTGGTACATCTTTTTTGCATATATTTAATATTATTATTATTATTTTTGAAACAAGGTTTCACTCTGTTGTCCAGACTGGAATTCAGTGGTGCAATCCCAGCCCACTGCAGCCTTGACCTTCTGGACTCAAGTATCCTCCTGCCTCAGCCTCCCAAGTAGCTGGGACTACAGTCACGGTACCACCACGTCTGGCTTACTTTTTTATTTTTTTGTAGAGACAAGGTCAAACTATGTTGCCCAGTGTGGTCTGGAAATCCCAGGCTCAAGCAGTCTTCCCTCTTCAGCCTCCCAAAGTGCTGGGATGACAAGTATGAGCCAGTGTACCTGGGCTTGTGTATCTTTATTTTCATCCTTTCCATGCGGTTTTAAGATGTTTCCCTTGTAAAGAGTAACTTGGAGATGAACTTTTTAAAAATGCAATTTAATGATCCCTGAGGTGTTTTTGTTTTGTTTTGTTTTGTTGGCAGGATGGGGAAGGACAGGGATGAACAACTTTAATCTGTGTACACTGGTGGTTACTGAAATATTTGCACTTTTTCCTGCCAGCTTTTGCGTTTCCTATTACCATCCTTTTCCTTGGTTATTTTCCTTCTCCTCAGCTTTGTGTTGGACTGATGATTTCCCGTGTTCCTTCTGCTAGTTTAGATGTTTTTAAAAAATTTTTTATTCTTTTGGTGGTTGACTTTTTTTATTTTTTTAGGGGACAGGGTCTGGCTCTGTTGCCCAGGCTAGAGTACTGTGGCACAACCATAGCTCACTGCAGCCTCCAACTCCTGGGCTCAAGCAGTCTTCCCACCTCAGCCTCCCCAAGTGCTGGGATTACAGGAGTGATCTACCATGCCCAGCTGACCCTTAAATTTGAACACAAATTATTAACTATATGCTTTTCTAACAGACTAGAAGTATTTCTTTCACCACCCACTGAATGCCCATTCCTCATTCCTGGAGTTACTGTTTGGCATTTTTCACATGCAAGGATAGTGCTGTGGGAGTTTGTGGCGAGGACCCGGGAAGAGGCTGTGTGGTGCCACGGGAGAGACATAGTGGCCACAAGGGGCAAAGAAGGCGCAGATTGGGGGGGGCGTCTGAAGAAGTGTGCCAATAACTTCATCCACTCCTGCTGTCTTCTGATGTTTTATCAGATTCTAAATTTAATCTCCAGTGCTGTTCTTTAATTTTTATTTTTTTAAAAAAACATTTAATACACATTCACTTAACATGCATATGTTATATTTTCATTCACCTCTGTTTTCAAAATGGAAACCTGACATGCAGCAGGCCAAGGCAGGAATGTTTCAAAACACTATGAGAAGGAGGGAAATGCAAACCATTTTATTATGGAAACTTATGGTGCCTGCAGCTTGAAACTTCTTTGTGTGTGCATGTTCTCAGGGTTCATTACTTTTTCTTCTTCTTGCTGACAGACTTGCTGGGCTGGGAGACGGCCATGTCCTCTTTGGGGGGGCTCAGTGTGAGGCTGGAGGACGGGGCATCCATCGGCTCCTTGATAACCAGGATGTCGACCTCGAAGTCTTGTCTCTTGGCCTCTTCTTCTCTCAAGACGTTCAGCCTACAAGCAAACACAAGAAGGTGGCTTGTTTCCCTTTGAAATGGCAAAAACAGTTATCCCATATATCCTACACAGTCATCCATACCTGTAATTCAACAATGTTTGTAAACAAAATGAAATTGTCATCACTTTGCCTGAACCACTGAGAGATGCTGTAGCTACATGGTCCAAAACAAACTTGTAAAGCTAAAGCGATCTATGAACTGCTTTTCTCTGTAGCAACTTAGCAGCTAGTAAGTGACCTTTTAAAATACCTCATGTATTCTTTTTCCTCAAGTATGGAATAATGCTTTCTTCAGTAGGTCGAGAGGTGCTTTACAAAGGGCCGGTTTCTGCACTCAGATTCACGTGACCAGGCAGAAAAGACAGCCTCAGCTGTGATTCTAAGAAGGTGAATGTGTGGCATTTACTGGCACTCACCACATTCTAGACCGTGTGTTCTAGACGCTTTACCAATGAAGTATTATCTCTGCCTTACAGGTGAGGAAACTGAGGCACACAGGGTGAAGGACCTTGCCCAAGGTCACTCAAGTCGAGTGTTAAGTGCTGGGGCTGGGATTTGAGCTGCCTCTGCCCTCTGCCATCATTTCCCATTGCCTCCTCATGCAAGCTTTGGGGCACAGATGTCATCACCAACTTAGACAATGAGGTGGACCCACAGCCACATGTCCTCAGTGCAGGATCTGGACACAACACTGAAAGGAACAATTCTTCCTACACTCACAATTTTGATGCCACATGTGAGGGAATTTTCCCCACACTGACCAACTCTCTCCAACACCAGCTAGGTGTCCTAAAATCCAATTCCATTCTGACACTACCTGGAGTTAGCACAGACCTCACAAATTGAGGGCTTAGTCCCACAAGACTGCCCCCACTTCAGACGCTAGTCCCAATCCAGGCCACTCTGGCCAAGCAGCTATAAACGGACAGTGCCGTGAACCCCTCCCTGGGCTCAATAAGATGCTAGAAGGGCTCACAGAACTCAGGGAAATGCTACTTACGTTTACCAATTTATTACAAAGGATAAGAATGAACAGCCATAGGTACGTGGGGAAAGGTCAGGGATGGGCCAGGTGTGGTGGCTCCCCAGTACTTTGGGAGGTTGAGGCGGGAGGATCACTTGAATCCAGGAGTTTAACACTAGCCTGGGCTATTATATAGCAAGACCCCATCTTTAAAAAAAAATTTTTTTTTTTAAATAAATAAAGGTCCGGACGGTCCGGAGCATAAGCACCTATGCCTTCAATTTATAGTTTTGGGTGCCCCACCCTCCCATCATAAGGATATGCTCACCAGCCTAGAAACCCCATACCCCTTTGTTAGGGTTTTTATGAAGGTTCCACTATATAGACATGATTGATCAAATCATTGGCCATTAGTACTTGAATTCAATCTCCTTTCCCAGGAGGTTGAGGGGGAAGAGCCGAAAGTCTCAACCCTCTCATCAAGTTGGTTCCTCTGGCAACCAGTCCCAAATGGAAAGCAATCTAAGGCTCCTCACCTGGCCTCCAGTCATCTCCTGAGTGCACAGAATGACAGTCTTACCACTCCAGACACTCCAAGGGTCTCTGAAGCTCTTATGTCAGGAACCAGGAACGAAGACCGAATGTTAGAACAAAGGATGCTATCACCCCATCACTCAGGAAGTTACAAAGGCTTTAGAAGCTCTACCAGGAACCAGGAGCAGAGACCAAATATTTATAACATATTCTTATTAGGAAGTGACATACTTTTAATGAAAGCATTTGGTCCTGATGCTTCTGGCAGCTAAAGAAGATGGGAAAGAAAGATAACTGAGCTCACAACAGAGAGAAGGAAGTGAGGGATTTTACAAGGGTACCTGGCTTCCAGTTCATCATTCTCAATTTTCTTCTGTTGAGCCATTGCAGCATTAAGGGACCTATTTTCTTTCATCTTTTTTTTGAGAGCTTCTTCATGTTTATATGCTTGAAAGAGTGTGTTCATAAAAAAGATATATATATTATTGACCCACATGCTGAGTTTTTCCTTTTGATCATCCTTGGGTTTTTCATATTTGTCTGGAATAGAGTTAAAATGAGCATTAATGCAGCCCTGCAGTAAATCTGGAGTCACACATTTGAGCCCTGCCCCCTCCGTGGTGTGCCAAGGGTCCTTATCCTCTGTCAGGAGGTGGGCCAGGCTGCTCACAAGGTGGTGGTGATTACGGACACTGCTTCAGTGACGGCCTGGAACAAGGAGGTGCTCCAGAGTCCGTGGCTAGAATTGTCAACTTTCCCTTTGAGTCTACTGGTACCTATTTTGTTTGTTCGTTGGTTTTTCCTAAATAGCTTAAGTATCTTGGTTTTTAAAAATTTTAATTGTCCATGTTTCAGGAAAAAGCCCTCTTGGCTCTTGCTTGTGCTATCTTTAAAGGCAGTTTTCATTGGAAAATAAAAGAGATTTTAACTTGGAGTTGAATAAGGTAAGGGAACGAAGTCTTTAGCTCAGGGGCTATGGAAAGAAAGCGGAGGAGTGTTGGGGCAGGGACCGTGGAAAGGCAAGTTCTGTGACAGCCCACACCAACCCCCATCTCACTTCCCATTCCAGGAGCCACTGTGGAGGCCCTGGAGTAGGAAGAGCCTCGATGCAATGCTGAATTTCACAGAGACTAAAGGAAGCCTTCATGTGTCTGTTCCACGTGAACTTCCGTGTTCTAGAACATCAATATAGCCTGTGGCAGGCCTAAGGCTTGGGTGAGCGTTGTGCGCGGAGGTGTGGATCAGTGAGTCATGACGCCAAACCCCTGGGATCGTTGACCCCGGTCTGTCAAGGGCCTTACACAGCCTCTGCTAGGAGTAGTTAAGAACACAGACTTGGGCCAAACTAGTTAGACTCCAGGCCCAGCTGTGCCACTTACTAGCTGTGTGGCCTTGGCGAGTTAACACTTCTGGGCCCTCATTTTGATTTTGGCAAAAGGAGGCGCTGAGTCCCACAGAACTCCATGCAGACAGTCCTCACTCAGTAATTTGCTTGTGGTCTCCCCACAAGCCACATCTGATCGCCTTACCTATTATAAAATAAAAAAGATGAGCCACACGCTGGGAGAAATAGCTGCAAAACATATATCTGGTAAAGGATGACTTGTCTCCAGATGCATAAAGAACTCATAACTCAGAGATCACCCAGTGTGGGGGGGAGTTTTTTAAAAATACATTTCTAAGTGTTAGAGAGAACGTGGAGAACTTGGACTCATATATTCCTGATGAACATGTAAGATGGCATGGCCGATTAGGAAAACAGTTTGGCATTTTTCTTAAAAAATTCAGCATACATTTTGCAGACGACAGCAGTTCTACTGCTAGCTGTCTGTCCAGGAGAAATGAAACCTGTCCACAAAGACTTGCCCATCAACATTCACAGTTGATGCCAAAAAGTGGAAACAACCCAGCTTTCATCAATGGACCTGATGGAATACCGTCAGCAGTGCAAAGGAACAAAATGCTAGCACATGCTACAACAAAATGAGCCTCAAAATGATTACGGGCGAAGAAGCCAGATGCAAAAAACTGCTTGCATTTATATGAAATGTCCAAAAAAGGCAAATCCATGGGTCACTGGTTGCCTGGACCAGATGTGAGAGTGGGGATTAACTGCAAAGAAACACAGGAGAACTTTTGGGATGATACTCAGGAACTGTGTTGTGATGGCTGCTCTGCACTTGAAATGGGTGAATTTCATGATATGTAAATTAGAGCTCAATAGAGCTGTTAAGGGGGAAAGGTAGCAATGTCATCTAAAATACTTCTTAACTTAAATATTTAAAAATTGTTTTACAGTCGGGTACAGTGGCTCACGTCCAGAATCCCAGCACTTTGGGAAACCAAGGTTAGAGGATTGCCTGAGCCCAGGCGTTCGAGATCAACCTACGCAATATGGTGAGAACTCATCTCTACAATAAATTAAAAAATTAGCCAGGCGTGGTAGTGCACACCTGTAGTCCCAGCTACTTGGGAGGCTGAGGCAGAAGGAGCACCTGAGCCAAGCAGGTCAAGGCTATGATAGCCGTGATTGTGCCACTGCATCCTAGCCTGGGCAACAGAGTGAGACCCCAACTCAAAAATTATTTTACTATGTTAAAAAAAATCAAATAAATTTTAGTACCTCATTTTATGCACGTCTACTCAGATAATTTATCTGCAACCTTCTTGTGGAAAATGTCTTTTTAAAGGACTTATATCAAAACCCCAGGGAGGACAGGGATGGAATGTACTGATACAGATTTGCAGAGTATTAAAATATTTTATATAAAAGATAAAATTTATAGAGTAAAATTTCTAACTACAGAAGCCAGACTTGTTCACTGCAGAAAAGATTCCATTTGTTCACCAACATTTATCGGGCACCTATTACGTACCAGGCCCTATTCTAAGTGCTGCAGCAAATACAAAAAAAATATATTTCTGCCTTCTCTAGTGTAATCAAAATGTTAGTGACATTCTAGTGTACATCCTACTAGCCAATTATCAGAGTAAATGGTTAACAAAAATAGGATCATATATCCTGTTTTCAATCAGCATTGTATTCTGTAAGATCTTTAATGGCTATAACTTGTTCTACTATATGGATAGAAACCATGAGATGTGCCATTATCTATTTAACCAAGAATTTTTTCGGTTTTATAAACAGTGCTGTAGTAAACAGCCTTATACATTCACCTTTGCCTACTTCTCCAAGATCTCCTTGGGATAAAGCCCTAGCAGTAGAATTACTTGTCGAAACAGAGTATTCACATTTAAAATTTTGATGAATATTTCCAGACAGCCTTTTAGAAGGCTGAGTCACTTTATGATCTCGCCTGCAGTGTATGAAAGTATTTTTCTCTCACACTGCTATCATAAGCACCATTTTATTTTTAATTGCCTCGTATTCTGTTGTTTTAATTTGCATTTTCCTAAGTATCAGTGAAGTTAAGCATCTTTACATAAGTTTGTGAGTCATTTATGTTTTGTGAAAACGATGACTTTTTCCTATTCTTCTGCTGTTTTATTTTTCTTTTTTCTTTTTTTTTTTTTTTTTTGAGTTGGAGTCTCACTCTCGCCCAAACTGGAGTGCAGTGGCTGCTCCCGGCCACCGCAGCCTCGACCTGCTGGACTCCGGTGATCCTTCCGCCTCAGCCTTCCAAGTAGCGGGAATTACAGGCATGCGCTACCACACCCGGCTGATTTTTTGATTTATTGTAGAGATGAGGTCTCGTTGCCCAGGCGGGTCTCGAACCCGCAGGTTCAGGCAATCCACTCACCTCAGCCTCCCAAAGGCGCGGGATTACAGGCTGAGCCACCGAGCCCGGCTTTTCTTAATATTACCTTTCTCAGTTTTTTCAGTTTGCTTGACTTTCATTTTGTTCTTTTGCCAAAAATGACTGTGATTTTCTTCTTAGTTTTTGCCCTTGTTTTTAATGCCTAAAAAGACCCTTTTAGCACGGTGTATATAAATGTTCACTTGTGAGTTTTTTAATGTTTTAAAATAATGTTTTATATGCTGTAATTATTTTAATAATTTTTAACATTAAGCAGACCTATCTTAGCTTTTTATTCTTATAGTTCCAATTTTTATATTTAACTTTCATCTATCTGAATTTTTTCCCAGAATTTGGTCAATAATCCCAGCTCCATGTACTAAGTAATCCATCTTTTCATTACTAAAAATGAGCTCTTTATTACATATACTAAGTGTTTTCGTTTGTATTTACAATGATTTTCCTTTTACTTTGCCAGAACCACAGTTTTACTTATGGTACCTTTATTTTTTCCATATGTTTTAATGTCTAAGACTAAAAGTATACTCCCATTTTCTTTTTAATATTTTTATAACTGTTTCCGCCTGTTGCTTTTTCTAGATAAATGTTAGGATCATTCTGCCTGTTAGAATTTGTCATAAATGGAATTAAATTTATAAATTAACTTGGGAAGAATATAACAGGCTACGATACTGAGTCTTTCCATAATTTAGGTGATGTTTCTGTTTATTCAAGACTTTTCTAAGGTCTGTAAAATTCAATAGTTTTCCTTTTTCAAAAATTGTATTGTTGGCTGGGCACAGCGGCCCACATCTAGTCCCACCACTTTGGGATTATAGGCTGAGGCAGGAGGATTGCCTTAGCCCAGGAGTTCGAGACCAGCCTGGGCAATGTAGCAAGACCTCGTCTCTACAAAAAATCAAAAAATTAGCCAAGCATGGTGGTGTGCACCTGTAGTCCCAGCTACTGAGGTAGGAAGATTGCTTGCACCCAGGAGTTTGAAGCTGCAGTGTGTCATGATCATGCCACTGCACTCCAGCCTGGGTGACGGAATGAGACCCTGACTCAAAAGAAAAAAAAAGAGTATTGTAAATTGACAAACTATAATTGTATACACTTATGGAGTATAATGTGTTATATATATACAATGCAGAATGATTAACTCGATCTAATTAACATACCCATTACCTCAACTATTTATCATTTTTTGTGGTAAGAACAGTTGAAATTATTCTTCTCATTCTTTCCTGAGTTGTATTATCCCATCTGAGGTTTTCTAATCCTGATTTATGTTGTCCATTATTAACTATAGTCACAGTCTGGGCACAGTGGCTCACTCCTATAATCCCCGTACTTTGGGAGGTGGAGGCAGGAGGATCACCAGGAGTTTGAGACCAGCCTGTGCAACACAGTAAGACCTGAGTTGTATTTAAAAAAAAAAAAAAAAAAATCAAAAAAATCAGCCAGGCATGTTGGCACATGCCTGCAACCCTACCTATTTGGGAGACTTGAGCCCAGGAGTTCGAGGGTGTGGCGAGCCATGTGTGTGCACTCCAGCCTGAGTAGCAGAGAAGAACCCTCTCAAAAACGAACAAACTATAGTCACCGTGCTATGCAACAGATTTCAAAAAAAATGTGCTCCTCCAGTCTGAGATTTTGTGCCTTTCGCCGACATCTCCCCATTCTCCCCAGCCTCAGTCTCTGTTCTCTGCTTCTGCAAGTTGAGTTGTTGTAGACACAAACAACTGAGAACATGCGGTACCTGTCTTTCTGTGCTTGGCT